CGTGATATAAGCGAACAGATTAAAATTTATTCGCTAAGTGAAATCGGGGACGAAATTAAAATGATAAAAAGTGAAGAATGATTAAAACTAATTATAGGTATGTTACTACTATAGATAATAAAAACAGTACAATTTTTGGAAAGTACCCACCAGCCCGCCTAGTCCTGGCAGCAACACAGCCACCCTCTAGTGAGTCCTCCTCAGATTTGTCAAATGCGTAATTCAATTCGAGAATTCGCTTATCATTGGTTGTGATAACGTATTCCAATAGGCGACATAGTGCAAGGACGCTAAAACGGATGCATGAAAAAAAAGTTGGGTTCTTATTGTAGGAATTATTCATGACCTAATGATTAATTATAAAGTTATACTTTAGTGAAAATTTGTCGAGAAAGTGCTATGAAAACCGACCCAAACTATAGAGCAAATTTACATTATAGAGAATATGGAATTTATTTCAACTTTATTGAAAATAAAAAGATACTAAATATATATAATTTGTGAACACAAATAAAATCCAGAAATTATTGTTGTTACATGTAACTTCTCCCTACGAGTATCAGATAAGTAATCGCAGTACAAAAATCGTCAAAATGAGTCAAATTAATCAATTTAGATTTTATAGCCAATTAGAGTATTTTTACAGGAGTTCTATGCCACTATACCCATTTATGCTATCTAAAAGTCCAACTCAAATAAGTGTCTTGGTGAATTTTTCTTAGGTGATACTTTATAAACCTGACGACAACTGCCACATCATAGAAAGAGCATCAATGATTCATCGAGGTTACAAAACTTACTTACACAGATCAAAAGTTAGTCCAAAGCAATCTTCCCTGGGTTTCAGGTCGAGCCGATCAACTAATCTCACTCAACTATCATGTAAGATAAAATAAATAGCACGACAACATAAATTTATTAAGGGATTCTTTTGAACAAGTTCCCCTGTCGTTTTATGTTAGCATGCTTCAAACTACCATTAGATTAACTTTCTTTTACATGCGCCAAATTGCGAGAATATCGCTGTTATTTTTAGATAAAATTATAGCGAAGTAAAAGAAGGGTAGAATTAAAGGCTTCACTATTCACCCCATCCGAAAGTGGTGCATTGCGACCCTGAAATAAAAAGAAAATATGCTCTATCATGAGTATGTATGGAGAAAAAGGAATTGGATATAGATTTAGCCTATGATATTATTTAGACTGAACAAGGTGTTGAATAACATTACCTGTCGAAATAAATATCTGAAACAAGCTACAGGATTCAAACCAGATGTTAACAAAGAATGCAAGTACTTTAAACAAGAAGTTAGAAAAAATTGCTTGATGCTCCTAAAAGAGAGCGCCATAAAATAAAGGAATTTTATAATAAGAGGTAAAGTGCTATATTAAATAGTTTAGGAATCACCTCAATTTTATATGAGCAGGAGAAGAAAAGAGATGCTGTAGTCGGCACCAAAGAGTGAGCAGAAAACCGAGAGCAGGCTGGCCTTGAGCATCTGGCACCTGAGTGAGGAAATCGAGTGTTGCTTCGGTACGAGAATGCAATAGTAAGAGGAAAACGACTAGTAGTGATTGCCTTGCTCCTGCCACACCGACGGGAGATACCTCGAGTGTCGAGGAAAGGCCTGAAGATTGTAGGAGATTGAATTAGGTTTGCACAAAAAAAGGGCCAAGAAATGAAGAAGTGGAAAGCAGCTCAATTAGAATGTATCTGCTTGCGGTGACAACCAATATAAATAAGATATAAGGAACAAAGAATTTCACAATTAAAGTGGAGTGGTAAAATATACTTATTTTTAAATAAAATAAACGAAAATCCAAAGCCAACAAAAATTGAATCGTAGTGATTCAATAAACAAACCAATGGTGACTGCTCTGTAGCCCCGTTGGGAAAGCCTGCGAAAGGTTTCTTTGGTAAAGCTAGGCAGAAAACATTACTGGGTCGCATGAAGGAAGTATGCAAAGATGCTTGGTCAGAGGAAAACAAAATTGTTGAGCTTAATTCCGTATTGAATAGAAGTGTTTGGTAAAGAAATTCAAAGGTCAATTCCACAAAAATACGATGGCGGATTCCTCTTGACCAGCTGTGGATTGGCCTTACTGAAACATTCTTGTTGACGTTGTTTCCAAAGTATACTCCGTCGATTCCGGTAAAAACGGAATTATAAATAAATAAATATATATATATATCTATGAGTGAAATCACACAAAGCCCGTCAACTTAGGTGGATCTCTCTAATTGTGTATTCGTAGCAGTGTAACTTCCTAAATTAGAATTAATTGAAAATATGGATAGCTCAGAACAGATTCTAAGCTATTTATAATAAGTAGAAATATTACCAGCGAAATGACACTCATAAATACATACGATCATATACAGCTAATACAGTTCCATGAACCTAAGTATACTCGAAATGGATATGCTCGAGTCGAACTAATAAAAGACAGAATAAACTGATTAACCTAGCTGACTTAGTAATAGCCTTAATTTGTTTTAAAAAGAATGTCCAAAATGAGGATGCACTTTGTAAATAAGGCAATTCAGCTGAGTACAGACAAGGACAAATCAATAAGACTTTTACCTGCAGAGGCCTTCATGGCTTCCATCGAAGGCAGAGTGGATAAACGCGCAAGAGTGGCACGCAGTAAGAGGTCGGTCGTTTCACCAAGGCCGACTGATTCTAGAGGTACACGAGCAAGCAGAGCGGTGACCAGACGGCCGCCAGGACTAGACCACTCCATCGGACCAGTGGGATCCAGAAGGCGCGCAGTGACGTGAAGCATGTAGCCAATACCATTGTTGCCCTCATCATCATGCCAGGCAAGCACTTGATCGACGGCAGAAAAGAGATAGCAACGGAGGACCTCACAACTATTCTGAATAATATAAAGGCAAAAAGAAAGAGTTATTAAAGAGGAAGTTTGAAACGCAAATATAATGAATGCGCTAGGAGCTAAAGCTAAGTAGGCATATAATCTACTAACGTAGTAAATAGAAGCAGTCATTATAGCAAATGTAGTGGCATCTAAAGCGCATTATTAAAAAATAAAAAAACATAATTTCCATTTCGTAATCGCTGTGATAAAGCTGGTAAGAAGTGGAAAAGAATGTGTGGATACGAATTATTTTGTTTTATTACTCCATTAGCCCGTAAGTTTAGGCATCTCAAATACAATGAGCAGGCCTCAAGGTAACATGGAAGTTAACCTAAAGTTGCCTCCCAATGGGCTTTCTCATATGTAATAGACTTCGGTTTCAATCCCAAATTGGTACTATCACTCTCGAAAGAACTTAATCGATCCTCACCCTAAGGATGACGAGCTTACTAAGTACTTACTGATAAATAGTATGGATTAATGATATAGAGTTGGTTGTTATTTCAATTGGGCTTGTCTTGTCTGGAAGTTCAGATATATCTAATGACATTGAGGCGTGCAAATGTGATGTGAGAAAATATTGCTGCTTAATGCAGTTTTCGATTTTGATGGGGATATAGATGAAACCTAGGCAAAGTCGAAACAGCAAATAACTCTGGATTTTAAAGAATTTTTAGAGATAATGCCAGTTAAAATTCAATTCATTTCATCGAGGCCTTTCTCCACACAAAACTACCAGAAGACTGGTTCCTAGAGAAGAATCCTACCTACTCTATATATCAATATTTTATCATCCAATTTCATTGTATATAGTCTCTTGTTTTCTATATTGGATGCGTTTATATAGAATGAATGTCTACTCTTAATATCGTTTCACACTTATGCACTCTAACTTGCAGACACTATATACCGCAGCATATAAGAGACATAAAAGTATAATTAAAATTGGAGAAATATGTGGAAAATAAGTCTCTTATAATAAAGCCCAGCTAAGAAGTCTCATCACTAGGTAATCAATAAACTATAGTCAATAAAGTACTACACGGATTAGCTTATTGTGCCAAAGCGTTGCATCTCGTAAGAATATCCTATCAGCACAATAAACTATAGTCAAAAGCCCAAAACGGCCTAAAAGGTCTACGATCTTAATAATATTCATTTCTTTTATGTATAAAAAAACTCACCGAGAGGATAGCCGAGTCGGAACTCACTAAAGCGTGATGAACAACGGCAGGAAAAGCGCGGTGGAGGAGGTCACTGATAGGAACAGGGCTGTGTCTAATCAGAACGGAGAGAGCTTCCAATGCTGCCTAAACAGATGTAAAAGGTATCGGCATAGTTGTAAATAGCCTGCTCTGAGGATGTTGGCCAAATAAGAGAAGAAATGTAGCACTTTTTAAAAGAATTAAAGATTGTATTGTCGACAGTAGTAACCAGAATGCTCCAGCAAAACCCAGCAGCAACTGGCCTGGAATAATCCATTGTCATTGTGTAGAATCGATCATATACATTCTTCCTCACACATTTTTACTGGAAATGAAAGCTCAAAACTAGTAAAAATCCGAAAATTTTCCAAAAGAAGGCATAACAAAAAAATATTAATTTATATTTATACATTGTTTTTATACCCAACCATACCCTTTTATAGAGCTAAAGTAGCAATTCCAATTGTATTTGAAGAGTGGTCTATCAGCCTGTCCTTCCCTAGCTAGCCCTTCGGTCGAATTATATTTATTAGTATTGTCTATTATGCCAAAAAAAACAGATTTTGAGGTGGTGACCGAGTCCATAACTCATAATTTAGCCATATATGCATGATAGAAAACAAAGCAAGGGCATACGCATTTAAACGGTTCCTAAATACAAAATCTCTCCCACTATTACTAACTATGACATCGAGAAATGATAGCTTTTATAACGCAGTAGTAAATTTAGTAGTGCATTAGTTTATTCACAAACTTGAAGAATTTTTCAAACCTGCCTTAACTATCGAATGTATACAGACCAAGATGGTGTGGCCTTTACGGGGCAAGAAAGAGACTGTGATAGGACCTATGGAAGGCGGATTGCGTAACAATATGGCAGACTCTAATCAACATTCCCAGCACAAGAGTGAAGGGGGTGAGAACGATAGCGTGGAGTGTGAAGGATTTTTATGAATGCCGCCCAAAGGAGCACACTAAATTACATCGAAATAAGCACGGTAAAAATTATAACAGTGAGGGCGTGATAGGAGGATATAGGAAATGCTAACAGCCCAGGACAGCAGGGGAGACACCAAAACTGTTTAGCACACGTTTGGTCAAAGGATCGGATTCACTTGTCCCTTTGACGAGTTAAAGTGTGGGGCTAAGAATGT